CGTCCCGTTCTTGCAGAAAAAGAACCGTCCCGCGAATGGAAGAATTCTAAGCTAAAGAAAGACCCCGTTTACCCACGAGCTTCTGTAGAAGAAATCATCGACGAAGAACTTCCTCACCTCGCACCAGATCAAGATGAGCCGGATTACGATACTAAGGAGGACGTATGGTCGGAAAACTATGCCCCTCCAGTGGTCGATCCCTCCCTCTATCCTCTGAACGACGAAGACGTTTTAATCGAATACTCCCCTGACGGTTCTCAAGTTCGAGTAATCTCCGATGTCTCTTTTGACACGCCTCTCACCAGAGATGGTACATCGAAACAGGAACAAGGATACTCGAAAACTAGCAACAAAGCTCAAGAATTCGCGGTCGCCGGGGAGAAGGAAAAAATGAAGAAGAGCTTCGAAGAACTCGTTCCATCTTACCTGCATACCTACGCTGATATTTTTGCAAAAGACGGCCTTAATAAGTTGCCACCCGAACGACCCGGCATCGACCATCGAATCGATCTGAAACCTGGATTTATGCCCAGGACGTCCAAAATTTACCCGTTATCAGGAAAAGAAAGAGAAGCAGTAAAAACCTTTATCACAGAAAACACCGCGAAGGGATTCATCGTACCCTCAAAATCCCCGCAAGCCAGTGGATTTTTCTTTGTAGGAAAGAAAAGTGGAGAGTTACGTCCTTGTCAGGATTATCGGTACCTCAATGATTGGACCATACGCAACCAATACCCACTCCCACTCCCCAAAACTCTCATCGAACGACTCTACAAAGCCAAACACTTCACGAAAATCGACATACGTTCTGGCTATAACAATATTAGAATCCACCCTGACGATAGATGGAAAGCTGCTTTTACTACCGAGGAAGGCCTGTTTGAGCCCACTGTAATGTTCTTCGGCCTAACCAACTCCCCTGCCACTTTCCAATCCTATATGAACAATCGCTTCCAAAGCGAGATCAACGAAGGATGGATCGTTATATATATGGACGATCTACTCATCTTCTCCTCCAACCTCGTGGAACATCGCGAACGAACGAAAAGAGTATTGGAGATACTCCGTCGCGAACAACTATTCGTTAAACCGGAGAAATGTACTTTCGATGCGACCGAAGTGGAGTACCTCGGGATGATTATTCGACCTGGAGAAGTTGCTATGGAGCACGCCAAAGTTGACGGAATAAAAGACTGGCCTACCCCAACATCCGTAAGGGATGTCCGCTCTTTTCTCGGATTTTGCAACTTTTACAGGGCGTTTGTATCCCACTACTCTGATATCGCCCGTCCACTCATTAATCTCACTCGGAAAGACCATGTGTTTGCCTGGACGCCTGACGCTCAGACCTCGTTCGACAACCTCAAACAATGTTTCACTACAAAACCGGTCTTAAGGAACCCTGACCCCACACGCCAGTTTGCCCTTGCAACTGACGCCTCTCTCGTAGCAACAGGAGCCGTCCTCCTTCAGACGGATGAAAATGGCGTCTATCATCCCTGTGAATATATTTCTCAGTCTTTCAACCCTGCCGAACGCAATTATGAAATCTTCGATCGAGAGCTGCTCGCTATTATCCGCGCTCTCAACGAATGGCGTCACTATCTCGAAGGAAACCCCCACCCCGTTGTCGTCTTCACCGACCACTTGAACCTCCTTTACTTTTCAAAAGCGCAGAAACTTTCCCGGAGACAAGCACGATGGCAGCTTGTATTATCCAATTATGACCTTGAATTGCATCATGTCCCTGGGACCAAACTTGCAGCACCTGACGCTCTGTCTCGCCGTCCAGATCACGGTCTTGGTGAACACGACAATGAGGATCGTGTACTCCTTCCAGACTCCATGTTCATCAGGTTGATCGACGATGAACTCTCCACCGCCCTTGCCCAGAACTCCTTAGCAGACCCCATTTTCTCCACAGCCAGTGACGCGCTGGATGGGTTGTGCTTGCCCCCTATGAAATCTGCCCTCTCTGATTGGGTCATCACAGACGGAGTACTCTTTTATAAGTCTCGTGCCTACGTCCCGTCCCTACAACGCACAACCATCCTACGCCGTCTTCATGACCATCCCACTGCCGGTCACCCCGGACGGTTTAAAACTGAGGAACTCGTGAAACGCGATTACTGGTGGCCTGGCATGGGCACTTTTATTCGTTCCTATGTTGCAGGATGCGCTCTTTGCCAACAAATGAAGGTTGATACTCATCCTGTCTCGCCTCCCCTTGTCCCAATCCCTTCCTCCGCTACTCGCCCCTTTTCCCAGGTCTCTGTTGACCTCGTCACTGACCTCCCTGTCTCCAACGGTTTTGACTCTCTCATGGTCGTGGTAGACCATGGCCTTACGAAGGGGGTGATTATTTCTCCCTGTAACAAAAACATTTCCTCCGAAGGAATAGCCAAACTATTCTTTAAAAACGTATTCAAACGTTTCGGGCTCCACGAAAAGGTGATCTCCGATCGAGGTCCTCAGTTCATTTCCAGGTTCTCTAGGGAATTAGCACGCCTCTTGGGATACCAGATCGCCGCCTCCACTGCATATCACCCTCAGACAGACGGACAAACCGAGCGGCTCAACCAAGAAATTGAGACATATCTCCGAATATACTGTAGGACTAACCCCTATGAATGGTCAGACCATTTACCCCTCGCCGAATTTGTGCACAACCACCGAAGACACGAAGCAAGGAACGCGTCACCATTCTTCCTCATGATGGGATACGAACCTCGCGGTATTCCCCACGTACTACCATCATCGGATACCCCTGCCGCAGAAGAAAGGGTTCGCACCCTCCAAAAGATCAGAGAAGAAGCCATCTCTTGTCACAATATCGCCATGCAACGAATGGCAGAAAGGACACACGGAAAGAAGTATCAGCCATGGAAGATAGGAGATAAGGTCTGGCTATCCGCAGCTAACCTCATGACCACTCTCCCATCTAGGAAGCTTGCGCCCAAGCGACACGGACCATTCCCCATAACTGCGGTCTTATCGCCTATCACGTTCACCTTGAAGCTTCCAGAACAATGGAAGGTTCATCCCACGTTCCACGCTTCTGAACTATCCTCCTATCAGGAAACAGAGATTCACGGACCGAACTACGAAGAACCACCTCCAGATATAGTCAACCAATCAGAAGAATACGAAGTCGAAGCAGTCCTAAGTCACAAGGGAACGGGTAAACGAAGACGCTATCTCGTATCCTGGAAAGGATACTCTTCTGGCTCTAACGAATGGATTCCAGCGGAGAACATGGAAAATGCCGAAGACCTACTCTCTGCATATAAAAAGAGGCACAGGTTAAACTAGATCGACCAGTCCCCACAATCATACGAACATGTCCTCCCAACAAACTGTCTCTCCCACTGAATCCAACGTCTCCTCTATCAGCCTCTATGAATCTCCCTATGCCGACAACGTTGTCAGCATCGAAGACGATGTCATCGTCGAAACCACTATCCTTTCCGTCGCCCACGCCCTCGAAATCGAAACCTATCTCAATAACCAACCAGCAATACCAGCTGGAGTCGCTGCTACCTATATCCACATCATTAGAGCCACCCAACGTCTTGAAGAAGAATTCGCCCAGATTGAAAACGACGCCCTCCGACTCTCCTGTAACCACGTCCAGCGGCGCATACGCTCGCTTACGCTTCAGCTATTCCCTCTTGGTTTTAGCACTATCTGTAGGGAAATTATACAGACTGTTGCGGATCGAAACTCCTTCCAAGTCGGCCGCCCGTTGCCTCCTATTACTCATAATCCCCCCGCTGTTCTACCTGATCCAACTTCGATTGGAGGGAACGTTGCACCAATTCCTGTACCCATCCCAACACACACCGAACTCCAAAGAAGAAACCTCCGCGGAGGAGCTGCCATTCACGGCGTAACCAAGAAGAAGTCATCCAAAGGAAAGAAGCGCGAGGTCATCGACCTCACCCTAGAACCCCCTGCTATCCCATCCTCCAGCATCGCCATCAGATCACCCTCGTTGAAACAGATAGTCGGCACTATCGCCGACGCCAACTTCATTTGTCGAATCTGCAAGAAACTCGGTCACAAGCACAAGAACTGCCCCTTGTACTATTGCCGCGTTTGCGGCGACACGAAACCCGGGCACTTCTCCATTTACTGCCCCTTCACCACCACCAAGATACTATTTCCGTTGGTCTATACCGACGAAGGCTTCTACGACGCGTTAGCCGCGTGGGAAGCAGAGAAAGATAAGAAAGAGGAGGAGGATCTTGCACGCGCCGATAGAGAGTACTTGGCGCAGCCAGAAGAATTAGAATTCCACAATGCCGACGCCGACCCCATCTACTACGAGAACCAGGACAACTAGTGATGTCGATGCCGGTGACATCGACCATAACACGGGGGTAATGTTACGGTACATTCATTCTCTTCGTTTCTCTTTCGATACTGGACAATGGTACATGCACACGGCTCTTAACGAACGACCAATCACCTTCCAGAACCTCACTCATATCATCGCCAAGCTAACCTTCCGTAGCAGTAACCATCACTATATTTAGATCACTATCTCTTATCGAAGCGGGCTGTCCGCACCATGGTTACTATCTCCTATCGGTTATCTCTTATCACTTACCAAGCGGGCTGTCCGCCTTCTATCTTGATACGCACTTACAATCTCCGCTTGAACTCACGCTATATAGTTACATAGCGTACCACATGTATTCCTTACTTTAATCTACTGGGTTTTACCTGGAACAAGTCCTTTAGCAAGGTCTCCAACCTTGCTATCTAAGAAACCACTATTCTAAGGAAGTCGCCGATACTTGCCTTAGCCAGAAACCTTTGACCTCTCACTCGAGAGAAGAACCACGTCTGTCTCGCCGAATCTCAGTCCACTCGGACTTAGACAGCTCGACATACCCCAGTCGTAACACTCATCAGACTCGACTTATGCACTGCGTGACACTACTGAGCTACTCGCAGATGGCCCCCATAATGACCTCAGCTCGATGTTCAATTGTCTGAAGAAAGATGGATGGATGGTGGGACCTAAATGCCAGCTCTTATTCTGGGTACCACCGGCTTCTCATAAACCATTTTATAGGCCTCGGACTGCATTTGTGATGCCCAGAGGTGTTGAGCTTGACTTGAGTTGCATGGCACATGGCTCACGCTGGCAGGACTGCTACAAGGAGTGAGTCTCCGATTTTTTCTGTCCCTCGCAGTTAATCAATTCGATTCTTGTAGCTCTTGATTGCAATGATCTCGTTCCTGTAAATTGATATTTGTCGAGTACGATATGGAGTGTACAGTCAATTCTTTGTCTATTATATACGTAGTGTTGCATTCAAGTTTGGAGTAGTTTGAACGAACAATATGACAGATTTTTGAGAGAGCATGAAGCGATCTTCGGCGAGTTGTCTGAGATGGGGTCAAGCGAAATCAATAGACACAAGTGTGGCGCCTCCCAAAGTGAACTGAGACAATTGAAGAAGATTGTGGCGGCAGCGGCAGAAGTAGTCGGGGTCATCAGGCTTCAGTTGCCCTCAACACAGTTTAAATGTTGAGAGAACTGGGTCAATGGAAGGGAATGTGGTTCATTGTGTACAGTACAACATGTGCATAGTAACAATGAGCTAGTACCATGAGAATGATGAGTGCTAGGATATCGATATTTGAGGCGTGGAAGGACATGCAACACTTTAAGAACACATGCCAGAAATGAGGACATGGACAAGCGTCTAGGAAGCACAAAGCAAAAAGCAATATGAGAGACGACCCTTCATCAAAGCACATTATATTGGAGGAGCCTTACCATGACACTTGGTTGGGCCATTTTGCCCCAGATGACAAAGTATCCCCATCACCCTCCTTCATATCGAGTCTCGACTGCTCTATTCTTCTGCCCTCGTTGCTCATGCATCTACTTCTAGTGCCCGCTTACGCATTGGCACAGGTCTTCCTGGCGTCGTCCAATGAGGACTGTGTCACAATGCCCTGTATCGCAGTTGTTTTTGCATTTGATGGCGTGTGCTAAGTAGAAGTTGAAGCTTTGAAGAGTTGGGTAAGATGAAGTCGAGCATTTGATGTCGTGGGAAGCACCAGTGTCCCTCTCTTCCTTGGATGCATATATTAATATGGAAGCAGGTGCTGTTCTTTTTTTATTTTCAACTTTGCGCTCATGTCCAGTCGATTGGCACGGTATTACCTTGTACCACAAGGTCACTCTCAGCCCATAATTGTGGCTGTAAGACATTTTACTGCGATATTGTATGTGTGCATACTAGAAAAAGGCCGAGCTTCGCTGGCAGCAACCTGATTTTGACACTCCGACTCAAATCCGAATCGAACGACGAAGGCACCCTTCCAAACAGCATGTGCTTGTGGCTCCACCTTACTCACTTAGTAACTGCCTTTGGTGTACCCGGTGGCAAACGGTGTGAATGGGTGGTGTTTGCACTCAACATATCTACATTTTGCAATACCTGTTCAATGAACCTCGTATGTTGGTGAGTGTTATTCTCAATTTGCTCAAACTCCCCTCGCTATGAAGTCTGGTATGGCCCGTCCCCACCCTGAGACTGAAGCATCACTTCCCCTTCCACCACGTCCATGTATTTCAACTTGTTTTTTTCACTTACTGCCTGCCTAGATTTAACAACGCGCAGTTGCCTTTTCGAGCGATGTCACCCGTCACCCCAATTTATGTCTTACGTGCTACATAGGTCAGTGCTTTGGCAAATCTCTTGTTTATGTCGTCAACTTATTCTAAATGATCACTTCTCAAGGCTGTGCTTTTCTTCACACCAACACTTTGCCTAACCTCTCCAACCCTTCATCCTCTACTCTGAGATGTTCATATGGATGTGTGGTAAATGGGCGCTCATCAAAGTCTCGCAGTAAACAGATCCAAACAGATCTACAATCAATCTCCCATGGCCTCTTGCTTCTTTCTATCCCACCACTGCTCCGTTATCTGGTCAAGCTTCATGATACGTTGGTCTTCAATATGAAGATATTCGCTTGGGTGAGTTGTTAATAACTTCTCGTCAAAATCGCGTAGAAGACGTATATTCTCGCGACCATGTCCTCGAGAGAGTGCGACATATACATTAAATGGGGAAAGTCCACCACTTGGTGGCATTGCGATGTCGATGATTGCATTACTGATCGTTTGTCCTTGAGATCGATAATCTGTGAACGCATATGCTGGAGTGAGCGGAAGCTGGTTCCGTGTTACCACCCGTTCACTGCCACCCATCATGACACGAAAAGTTCATTGCATGGGGGTCAGTGGCAGAATGCCACTGTCCAGGTTTTCGAGGGTTTTTGCTTTGGTACGGTTCAACTTGATGAGGACATAAGCAGGGGGATAGTCTAACTCTACAATGGACTTGGTAGGGCAGAAATTGGCCTCGCGTTCATCCAATATGATTTCCATTATTTCTCCTCATGCTCCATTTGCAACATCTAGATCTGTGTCGACATTGAAGGTGACCATGACCTTCATTCTGACTGCAAGTTGGACAACATTTGGCAGAGCTGCTCGCTCATCTTGTTTAGCATTTCTTCCACTGGGCTTTGTTGCTACAGCAAATTTCTCCGTCAATGTTAATTCCCGTCCTTGCATGGTGTCATATGCCTTGCACACAAAAAGTTGATTTCCACTTCTTCGGCAATGATTATTCGTCATGTTCCAGTTCCAGTGGCGACGCACTGCATTGCGGGGCATGATCAATACTGCATCATTCCATGGAGCAGAACTGAAGTCGGTTGATGGACAGCGGGTATTCATCAGAACAAGTGAGCGGAGCAGCTCAATATGGTGAGCATGACAACTGCCATGCCACACATGATGCAGAAGATCGTTCCACTCTGGATTGGTAACACGAACTTGTTCTTTGAGACGAACAACAATTGTAAATTGTTCATAAATCTTCTGTCCCAGCATTTCCTCTGCAGTGTCTTTTGATGAATCACAGGGATAATACAGAGCTGCACTCTTCTTCACTGCAACTGGCGGAAATTGGTGAAAATCTCCAGCAATAATCACATTAACACCCCCAAATGCTTGACCATCCCCTTCTTCGCCAGCCAAAGACTTCGCTTTTCCGATATATGCCAAAATTCTTGCCAAGAACTGGCAAGATAGCATGGATTTCTCATCAATGATGAGGTATAGCTTGTCTTTCCAAAATGCAGTGAGCTTCTTCAGTGTCTGGGCTCCTTGTTGGCGACCATTGAGAGGTATGAGTGCAATGACATGTAGAGTCTTTCCATTGATGATGGATGCTGCAATTCCAGTATAGGCTGCCTTCACAAGCGTAGACTCGACTCCTCGACTCCGAAAGTTTTCGGTTATGATCTGGATGGTCTTTGATTTTCCAACTCCTCCTTCTCCTGGTATTTGCATAAGTAGTTGCAGAGGTTTGCGTCCTGCCAATGTTTCCGACAGGTGCCAATCAATGATATCATAGGCACGTCTTTGATCCTTCAAAAGGCATGATGGGTCGACTGGAGATATATGTTCTTGAACTGAGGGCTGGAGGTACGATATATGACCATCATCATCAACTTTGTGTAGTTCGTTCATTGCAGTGACATCTCCAAAGTCAGCTGCAGTAATATCTTCATCTCTTGCCTCGTCAACCAAGTTTGTTTCATCAGCCATTGCAGCTTGCCACTTTTGAAGCCGAATATAATCGGCACCACTTGCGATACCAACTTTCGACCTGACAACATCCCATGAATCTGGTTCCTCCAAAAAATACCCTTCAAGCACCCGACTGCAACTGCATTCAGCCCATGTGCTTCCTCACGATGAGACTTCTGGGATTCCTCGTATGCATGCAAATCTTTGATCATCAAGTTAACAACCGTCTCTTCATCTTCGTCTTCTTCATCAATGATTCCAACTGCTTGTCGATTTCTTGATTCACATTGTTCAGCAGATAGGAAGTTTTCATTATTGCGAACACGTGAATCCATAGCAGCTTTCTTGCATTCATAATAATACTGAATCCAAGCAACAACGTCCTTCTCTCGCTGCGAGGTGTGATTGAAAAAATCTGTATATGCATCTTCCCATGTTTTGAAGTCAGCCCTCAGTTCTTCAATACCACGCCATGGTAAAAGCAATGCAAGGATCGATGCACAATACAGATTTCGAGTTTTTGGGTCATCACCTCGAGGAAAAAATGGTCCAACAATATTGGGCAATGTATTATGACCCTTTGATCGAACAACTCGGTGGTGGGTGTGATGTTTGGAATGGTCCTTGAGGTAATGACTCCGTTTATTTCTCGGCCGACCACGCCTTGGGATCGAAGATGAAGTGGAAGCTTCATGTTCTTGCTGTTCCCATCCCGAAGATGGTATTGCCTCTTCATATGTGTCAATTACGAACTGAAAATATGAATACAGTTTGAGTTCCTCTCCTTGGTGTTCATAATCTTCGAATTGTGAACATATATGAAGACGTCCTTCATTGGTGACATGCAATGTAACCAAATCCTACGTATTAATTCAGTTACTTGTCGGTACATATGATACTATATGGCAAGAACATACCAATGCATCTTCATTGTTATCTGGATCAGAACATGGTCTATTGCTCGTCTCGGAATCACTTGCATGCTCTGAGTTGGAGTCTTCGTCACTTTCAGAATCCGAGTCAGAATCAAACTTGTAACTGATGTAATTCAAGTCAAATTCAATCACCCCATGTATTATCAAAATATCTGATAATGACTTACTGTCTTTTGCTCAAATTCAACCCTGGAAATGCTCGCAGCAAATGATCTTTAAGAGCAAACCACTATAATGGCACATAATGGTGCGAGTATATTGCATTCCCCCATCCCATAAGATACGCAATGACTTGTGGTCCTGAATGTTCCATTTCGCGATTGATAGCATGCTGGCAGTGGAACAATAACAGACGGTTATGATTGACCACGTCGTCAAGATGATTTGAATGTTCCTGATGATACAACAGTGTACTCGCCATCAAAGCAGACACATTGTTGTTCTTGTTCTGTTTCTTGGTCGAGTAGTCTGTAAAATACCATGCAACATCCTTCGTATCACTACCATTGGTGAGGAGTTTGATATCATTGTTGCAATGGAGTGTTGTAGTTATTGCAGGACAAAAATTGTTGAGAAATGCATATGTTCGTTTCGGATTGCATCTGCCATGTTCGTCGATGATGTTGGTAGGTGTTAATAACCAAGGAGCACGTCTCTTGCAAACCAGTTGTCCATGCCGATCAAATCTCAAACAAGTTGCCCTGCTACAGGTATGAACTTGTTGAGACCTAACTACACGACGTTCAATTGCCTGGTTTTCCATACTCCAATTACTGGAATCTGGATCGGGGGGTCGTGAATATGGCAAATTGCTCTCCCTTGGCATTGTTCGGATGGTCTCTTCATCCAATCCGTCAAGGTGTGCACGAATGTTCTGCTGAATATACTCCTCAATTCATCTGCGAAAATCCCCGTTCTGCAAATGAACTTGCATGTCATGCATATTTGGCGTGTGTCGAAGCCAAACCATCATATGCACATGCAGTGTTCCTCTTCCTTGAGCTTCAATGACACCAAAGTAGCTGCTAACATGTCCAAGAATTCCCATCCCACTATGCACATAATGCAGTGACATATCTCCCTACTTATAGGACAGCCCATGTTGACAATGCTCCCTAAGACTCAGGCCAACCCACCATGGGCCCACATTACAATGTAAGTCTGACCTAAGGGATAGGCCCACATATGGGATTGTACCCCAGTATAGCGGGTGGGCCAGAGGCTAAAAATAACCGAGGCTCAAGGGTGGGCCTACTGTATATACATTATGGAATACAAAAATATATAGGATATTGGTATTATGATGCATGGGCTATGTCTGGTAGGTGCTATTTGATGGTGAGGGGTGGGCCCATATACACTTGCCGACAGTTTTGCATATTTTGGGATCACTGCAGGGGGGGCAGCTGTGGCACTGCCGAACATAATGCTCCAGGGTGATTGTCACCGGGGGTGATTGCCCCATGCTTCCATAGAATACCTCACTATGCATGCATGCCAGTGACATAGTATAAGGCCTGTGGCACTGCCAAACATAATACCACAGGGTATGGATTGTCACCGGCGGCGGCTGACCCATGCATGAATATGCGGCGAGGAATCACCTGGTGAGGTATGTTAAATGGTATTAAACAGCTGCTACTCTGCTTTGGCCAGACACCTTTTTGTTGTTGAATACCAGCTCTGCAAATTTACAAATATAAAGTTGCCGGCGACACCGTGCACTAATTGCGGCGGTGCTTGCGCCATGACCTTGTTGAACACCGGCTTGGCAAACCTGCGGCGCATGCATCTACAGGATGACCACTGGTCCCCTTCACATTTCGCTGATTTCATTACATATGGGGAATTAGGTCAAGACAATGCGCAGTATGCATGCCTCCTTACATCGATCCTCATGTTATCAATGTTGTTAGTCGATATGGCAGTCACTCTTCGTGTATTTTATGTAACCGGTTTGCCGCCAGGCATATATAATTACAATGCCTAGTATGTTATATGGAAGCCATGATTCATATTCCTCCTGACTGAACCTTGGCCACAACCCATATTGCTAGTGAACATGTCTCTCGCCAGTTCCTTGCACTGATCGGCGGACGGCCCAATGCTATTCCCCCACTCGAACTAGATTTTGTCATGCTCGTGGCATGCTCAAAACTGGCTAGTACCCTTGCCGATGCCTATCGGAACCCTGGTATGACTCTTTCGGCGGCGCCTTATGTGATCTTGAATCCCATCAATATTAGTTACTATCAACTTAGATGTAGCCAGGTATGCAGATGTTCTACAGATGATGGAAAAAGGCATCAACCCTGCTCGCAAAGATAGCCTTCTTTCCCGGTATCCACCTGACAGCCAGATCCATCTTGATCGGCCGACAGTTGTGTGTGACAAGTTCGGTATCATCATCCTCTGGTATCTTCCGGGCACAATTGATCTGGCGATACAAGTAAGCTGTCCGTAATTGCCAAATCTTTATATTGACTGTGTTAGAATGACATGGCGGCGGCTACTGCAATAATGTCAGTTCCACTGGCTAGAAGTGTGACAAGCAGCGCCGCCACGAATAATCAATGGAGGACCCATTCTTCAAACTTTTATCCAAGTCAATGTGGCGGTACTCCGGGGTGTATCAATCTGTCCCCAGCATGGTTTTTGCAAGGTCACCCGGTGAGTCACACCTCATAATTAGCGGCATCCATTTTCACTCTCATAGGCACCAAAATTTCATCCACATGTCTCAGCGACTCTTAAACTGTTTGACAGACAGTCTTTCTGTCAGGCAATGCAGAGACCGGCAGCGCTCATCGCTGCTGCATTGAGAGTCATGCACCCTAACCTCTATTGGTCATCATTGGCAACGAAGCTAGCCTTGGGTCTCTGGGCAGCTGACAAGAAATTGGACGAAATGGGAGATCGTCTCAGAGAGTGGGCATCCGTATTCACCGCACTCACTATCGTATGCAACTGGTGTTCGCCGATGCACCGTGATCCGCTGTCATGTCCCCAATGGTTTGACATCATGACCACCTTCGGCAATTATGGAGTAGCAAGGATGAAGATGCCAAATTTAGGCATTGAAAGTGTCTACCCGGCAGGTTCTATGATTGCTGGATCAGGATGAATTATTAGACATGGATTGGATATGGCAGACGGCGACTGAACAGCCTGGGTCTGGTACATGAGGGATGATGTTCACGAGTTTGCGGATATCCCGTGAGCGGACTATTCTAAGTACTGGTCACTAGTCACCGATGCTCAATAGAAATAGCGGTTGTATTTAAATCTGTACACCAGGCTGACTATATGGGTAGAGCTGGTCAGTGCAGGCACTGCCGGAATAAATGCACATGTGTCGCCGGGAGAGGACTAATATTATATGAGTCATCCTGTAGATGCCTGCACCGCAGATTTGCCGAGCCGGTGATCACCGAAAGGAAGGTCTCGGCGCAAGCACCGCCGCAATGAGTGCACATGGTGTGGCCGGTCACCCTGCATCATCTGCCACCGATAAACATCTACCCTGCAGACAACAGTTGAGCCCAACTATATATTTGCAGAGCCAATATTCAAAAAGAAAAGACGTCTGCGGAAGCCAAAGCAGAGTAGCAGCTGTTTTATCAAGCATGGTATTGTACAATCAAAGGGAGGTGGAAATTACAAGTATTAACTACATTTTTTCGCCAGACTCAGCCTCTGCCCAGTCAACTTCATGTAACAAGGATTCCACTGCAGGAAGAACCCATTCATGCACCTGTGCAAGGTGATGCAGGCTAATTAGATCTTTGAAGATCCTAGTTAGCCGGTCTCTGCTTTCACAGAATGCCATGAGCATCACCCTATTGCTCTCTAAGACTTCATCAGGCTTGGGATCCTGGACATCATCCCCCGGACCCAAGGCGCCGCCGACCATCATCTGTGCCAGATGATCAACTAACTGACATGTTAGCATGCGCCATGCTGTCTCAGGTATTAAAATACTTACATTCTTCTCCTCCAAGGCGATTCAGAATATCAATCGCCGCACATTCGGCATCACCGACCAAAGATTTCAGTGTGGGCCGTTCCAGATGCCCGCCAGTGAGGGGCAATGCACGAGGCATGGATGGTCCTGGTGCCGCATCTGCGATAGCAGGCAGCGAGGAAGCAACAGGAGGGGCAGGTTGCGGTACCCTAATGAGCTCTGGTTGCCACTCCCCAATCGGGGAGGGAGGCTCACATCCAAACTGGAATGCTGTAAAGGATGGTCAATACTGACTAGGCGGAGATTATGTCACTTACATCTATTGTTGATGTCATAACCTACATGCCTTGAGGTGTCTGCCTGGTCCGGCACCAGTTCAGAGCTTGTTGCCGGCGGGGTGGCATGAGGGAGATTGAAGCCAAAGTTGAATGGCTGGGAAGATGTGGTCGGCGGCAGCGTAGCCTTGGAAGGGACCGGAAGATTGAAACCCAGGTTGAACGGCTTGGGGGCTGGCTGCTGTGCGGGCTGAGGAAGGGTGAACCCCAGGTTGAATGGTTGCTGGGTGTGCAGCACCGGTGATGAAGGTGGTACGGCGCCAGGAATGCTCAAGTTCATGCCAAGGTTGAACCTCGGCGTGGGAGGTGTGGCAGATGGCGCTGCAGGCATGTCGAGATCCATGCCAAAGTTAAACCTCGGCGCCGGGGGTGGCTGTGTCGCAGGGAGAGACATTCCTAAATTGAAACCTGATTGGGAGTTAGGACGGTCCATCGCTGAAGTTGGAAAGATCAACTCACGAGTGCCACTGACATTGACTGGCGGCATTCCAGCTTCACTGCTGTAGGCAGATTCGTTGGTTTCCATTGGTGTTTCAAATCGGACTTTGCCTGGGTAAGGGCGATTGGAAGGATGGGACATGTGATGTTTGAGAATAATGGAGAATTGGATGGTTCTATTCAACTGATTATATATTAGATCTGGTTGTGGATTGCGGAAGTTGAAATTGTGGCAAAATTGTGGCAACGGAACAATGGATCGTCTTGCCGGCGAAACCCGGAACACGTGATTCTCAAACAATTCCTTGCCGCGTGTTCGGTGCTGAGAAGTGACTGACTTCAAATTTTCATTGCTTTGTATAGATACAGAATCAGTGCCCTCATCTCCCATCTTGCAGTTGTTTTCCACACCATGCCCAACGCTGAATTTTCCAACACTGCCATGGGCGATGCTGCAGAGCGGCTTATGAAAATTGTACAGAAGGCGGCAAAGTTGAGGGATGGTCATCCCGATCACCTGAAATTGGCTGTGGAAATTGGAGATCTGATGGTGAGTGTTCTTTTAATAGCAGGGCAGGGTGATGTGTTGACTGCAAGTAGTCCCCGGTATTCAAGACCCATGGTATGTCGGTGACAACCATCCCGCCGATCCTGCTTTTAGCAGCCATGGAGATGCTGGAGCACCTGGATGCAGTGCAGCAATCTTTTGCCAGTGCGCCTGTATGGGCTAGGATCCGAACTGATGATCCCCAAATCCAGCAACATCCATTGAAGGAGAAGGCCCACAGCATTACCGTTGCCAAGCCTACCACGGCGGCGAACACATCCGCTGCCATTTCCGGCGCACCAGTGCCGGCCAAGGTGAAGCCTAAGCCTAAGCCAAAGCCAATGCCAAAGACAAAAGTGGTGCATGAGTCGAAGGAGTCGAAGGGAAATGACCCAGGCCCTACCCGAGGGAATTCACCACCGGCATATACCTCCTCTCAGAAAGGTAAAGGGAAGGCAGTAGTTCCTCCAGGGAATGAGGAAGAAGCTGTTGAGGTCAATCGAGGTCGGCTAACTCAAGTTCAGAAGAGAAGGAAAGGGTCAAATACCAGTTTGCCGCCAATTCCAGGCGGCGCACCGCAACACCATCCTGCCGACTCGACTGCAATGCAGGTAAAGTACTTGCACTCATGAATTCATAGTGTATATTCATTTGTGCCTGATAGACCAAGACATCAAAACGGCCCAAAGTCACTCGAGAGTCAGTGTCGCCGAAGCACAATGCGCTGAAGGAAGATATCACAATGGTGAGTCCGTCAGCATATGATTAAAGATTTGCTAACATCCAGCAGGACACTGATTGTCCTGAGCTGGTTCCACCATGTGATGGTTGCATGAAATCATACGTGATTCATGTCATTCCTCAATCTCGTGTATTTATCTCATGTCACTAGGCACTTCATTTGTTGTGAAGGATATGGCACCACAGGCGCCAAACTTCGAGCTTGTGGCCGTTGCTCCCAACAAAAACTTAAATGTTCTCATGCCAAAGCCAACCTCAGTGAACAAGGCCGAACACGATCCCGCTCACGCTGCCGGCAGATGGCAGAAGGTAATTTTACAATCTTGATGTTACCATTTCGCTGACTTGCCTCAGATATGCTGGTGTCTGATGATGACACCGCCGCCGCTACTGCCACCACATTGCCGTCGCCGGCCACCTCTGTGCCGCCAATCACAACCCTGTCCCCAGAGGGTGAGGCACCACCACCTCTTTCACAATTGGTGTCCTCGATACAGCATCCTCAGATGGACATGGACAATTCTCACGATGGGCTCACGAAAGTGTTGGAGGGGATGACATTGGAGGTGATGCAAGACTTGGCAAATTTGAGTGCCAGGAATGTGACTCTTCAGGAGATTGCCGACACCCTCCGGACTAACATTGCTCAGCTTACGGCCGAGAATACCGCCGCCACAGAGCAGTTGAATGCACTGCAAGACAGGATCACCGCTCAGGATGCCGCCCTCCTTGAATTGCAAGGCCTTCGGGCAGAGGTAACGGAGTTACACAGTCAAGTCAAGACATTGCAAGAAGAATCAGCCACCAGAGATCAGCACCTTCAACGTGCTCAACACCAATTGGGGCAACAAGAACGTACCACCGCTGTCCTTCAGGATGCCTACAACGCCATCTGTCAATGTCTTACTGGTCCACCGAATTCATCATCCCCTTTCACCAACTCCTTGTATCTTGCCAACCCGATGTATGGCAGCAGTCAAAGCATGGTGCCTGTCAGCATGGGTCAGATGCAGGCCATGGAAGGCTTGTATTTCAACCTGCCATCATCGGTTGGCAACATCTCCAGTGGCTCCATGTTGGGTGGTCCATCTGCCGGCCCATCTGTTAGCACCATCGCCAGCAGCACTCGCACCCACGGCGACACCAAGGGTGGGGCGCCGTCAGGTGTGGGCAATGAACCTGGCAATAGATAGATATGGGTGGATGGAGTCAGGTGTAGGAACCGGGCAATAGTTAGATGTCAGGTTTGGCTATACCAGTTTTCATGTACAATAGCAATGAGTTTGTTTGTGGTTGCTCCGCCAATTGGACATGGATCTATCCTGCCATACATGAATGGTAGGCGGCGCCATCTTGCTATGTAACTCCAGCACACTGGTGATATGATAGAATTATCATATACAGCAGCAGTGGACAGTTGTCATACACTACAGTGATTACTGATGACCAGGATCATTTCCTGCCCCTTCTTGGCTTTGGAGCTTCAACTATAGCTGCCTTGCTCCGGGTTCTCTTGGCCGGTGTGTCACTGATCGGCGCAGCGGCACGCCGCTTCCCTGAACGTGTGGTCGGTACAAATGATGTTAATTCCTTTGCAGCCTTTGTGGCCTTTGCAGCCCTTGAAGCAGGCGGCTTATCTACAGTAACACGGGCCTTTGTATGCCTTGCTCCTGCTGAGTTGGTGGAGGAATGTAATATCTGACCGGTAACAGGGCAGCGGCACATCAGCATTCCATCACAGATTTTGGCAAGCACATACCAATCCCGGCGGTGTTTGTTCCCTGGCATTGTTGGACATTGATGCTTCCTCTCCATTATCAAAGAAAGACTGACGGTCCTCCCTTTCATCCAAGCTTTCCTCACTAGGGACATCATGGGCCTTGTTGCAGTGGCAGCTCGCCTGGCGGATGACTTTCTGATAAGACTTGGCCGCCGGCTCCATATCGCCGTCAGTGTCTCTCCAAGCTTTGAAACAGAAGGTGGGATGGAGCTTCTTGTTCTGCCGATCATACCAGAAATCCAACAGAGCAGTAGCACTGGCTTTGTTTATCTTAGATGGCTCCACCACCTGTACGTCCACCGGCCAGTAAGTGCCATCGAAGAAATCTGATTGATTCTTAATCAAGTTGCCCCAGGGCAGCGCCGCCTTGACTTTGTCGGTTCCCATGCACATCCCTGTGAAACCTTCAGACCGGTCAATGCTGTGAATGAGACATCCACCAACTGTAATGCCTGGTCAAGAACAACCGAATGACATGCTGCTGTTCGCCGTGCCTTCAAACCCATGGTATCTGGGAGCATAGGCAACCCATCATCATCTTCCTCCAGGTCAAGGAGCTTTCTAGGCATTCGTTTCTTGGAGGTGACTGACCTGTGGAACATCATCATCCTGGACATCTAATCATTGCTAATTGTTAGGACAACAATCAGGACCGGAAGCAGGGCATCTCACCGAATTGTTCTGCAGCATATTGCCGCCATTCCGGCATGAATATCTCATCCCAATTTCTTGTCTTCATGAAGCTTTCTGCTCCCCCAAATTGATCATTATGGTCATGTCTGATCAGATATTAGACCTCTGATCAACAAGAGCCGATGATAACACTCACGCTCCTAACATCAGTTTGCCTCTGCTGTCCCGCCATGCCGACATCACAAAGACCCTCATCCCCGCCTGTTTGAACATTTCAGTGGCGAAATGCTCTATGATATCAGCACCTTTTGTTTCAGCAACATTGGCCTGGACTTCAGCTGGAGCAGCTTTGTTGTTCCACTTATCTGCAAGAACATTTGCCTCTCCCTTCTCTTCAGCTGAAAGACCGGCGAGGACAGTCTTGGTAGCCTCTGGCCACTTGACAATCATAGCCTCACTCCCAGGCATCTCTCCAGTCTCCTCTCAAATATGAGCCTTGTTCTGCTCAATTAACACATGGTGAGCTGTCCATTTCTTGCCATATTTGATGAGAGGCTTTGGGGCTTTCCTACGGCATTGGTTGTACAACCACTCCTTGTAAGTCTGTTGTAATAAATAAATAGCCAGCAAACAGATATATCATACATTGGTTCATACCTTTTTTCGAGCTTTCAATAAGGCTTTGTCCCAAGTGGGAGCTTGAAGGCAAGCTTCCTTGTGTACAGCCTTCAAAATGCGGTGCCGCTCTTTACCTTTGACAGACCTCCAGTCCTCTAGGTGGGCCTGGAGGACTGCAATTTCTGCCTTGATCAGGGAAAGCTTGGTCTGCTGGGGCATGATGGCAGGGGATGCACTCCTGGCCATGTTACTATACAGTTGATGAAATGGATGGTCGGAGAGTTGAAAATTATCAGTTCCAGATTCCTACTCGGTCGCTCTTTTGGTGCCTTTCCGGAATGTTCATATTATGTACATCTAGCTACATGATCCACCTGCATACAGACCTGTATTGCTTCTCCTTGTGCAACACTGGCTGCTTGTTCTACAAGTACATATGACTGAGATATAGGCCTGACATAATCCTATTGAAACTGAGGAGTTTGAGGGCTAATCAAAGCAGGATGAATGATATTTCATGGTTCATATTTCCAGATATAGCTATTGACTCGGAATCATGATCGACATGAATGATGATGTCAGTTTAATATGTATTGCCTGCTCTATATATGCACAGATGGCCACATGCTATGCATGCATAACTGACTCTGATATCATATCAATGTGAGATGCTGCTCCTGAGGAACAAACTCATCAAATGACCAGTTAAAGTCTGCAATAATACCTATGCCAAAACATGTTACATACATGACTTCGGTGTATATCCCAATCCAGTAGTGAACAAATTCCTAGCTTCAATCACTCATCATCGGGGTCAAAGGATGGGAGGATCTAAAGTCTAGGAGTGGACACCCACCAGCAATATTTCTGTTGTGGAATGGAAGAAAACATTCCAGAGCAGGAAAGTAACAGGGAAATGGATAGAGAGACCCAAGATCCGGAAAATAAGATCAGTCACAGCCACCCCTACCAAATCGCCGATGAAGCAACCATCCCAGGATATGCTATATCATGGAGGAGAAGATTACTTCAGAGACCTGGACCAGCAGAATGTCATGCCACTGCAGCTACCCAAGTCCCTGGTGAGCACTTCCAGCAATATCTGATGTCCCATCCATCGTTCAGCTTGTTTCAAGAGTCAGAATGACTATCTTTGGCAATGGGTTCCAAGGACCAAAGAGTATCTCAATATACTGCTCCAACGGGAAGCTCCTGCCAGCCGGTCATGCATAATTTGTGGAACTGATGGTGTATACAAGTGTCACGGCTGCTTCGGTGAGCCCTTCTTTTGCACAAATTGCTGCAGGAAGGAGCATGTGAGGCTTCCCTTCCATTGAATCAGCCAATGGACAGGTGGATTCTTTGAGGAGAGCTGCCTGGTTAAGACTGGCTTGGTGATCTCACTGGGGCACAACGGAAATTCTTGCCCATGCCAGGACTACGAGTTTGATGATATAGACAACCTGTTTGCCAACACCGACACCGACACCGAGGATGCCAATGACATACCGGGGCCAACTGCCGATGCCGCTGAGCAAGATGAACAACCGACCGGCAAGCGAACTTGGATCCCCAATGATCTACCCACTGGGGTGCCGTTCATCAAAAATAGCAAGCAAATAACAACCATAGTTGACAAGTCTGGAGTACACACCCACAAAATCAAGTATTGCAGGTGCGCCGATGCGCCGACTGCTGATATTCAGCTCTGCCAGATGGGTTTGTTTCCGGCGTCCTTCGCCCAACCCAAGACTGCCTTCACATTTCAGGTCCTTGACGACTTTTTGCTGGACAACTTGGAGTGTGGGACATCAGCAATGAATTATTATAATAAGCTCAGGAGGATGACCACATCTGTCTTTCCTCATCTTGTGCCGGTGAGCCCATTCTTTGTGAGGCGGCGGCATGTTAATTTATCGGCAGGACCGTTACCGCGAGCTAATGAGGGTGGCTAGGCAGTGGTGGCAGCTCCAGCTGTTAAAATGGAACGGCTTCGGCCATGAGTCCAAAGATAGGAAACCTGGAGATCTTGCTCTCCTCTGTCCAGCATGTCCCCAGCCAGGCATCAATGTGACATTGCCCCCTGAAGATGAGCAAGAGGAAACCAACTCTGAATCTGAACTGCCAAAGCCCAGTTGGCTGTATTCCAGATCCCTGGTCATGGATGGCAACTTCAAAGTGGAGCACCTGTATGCGGCGAATCCTATGGATAAAGTCTCCCTGATGGATGGTCGTGCCTTTATGGTCGGCGATGGCGCCTACAAGGCACATCTTGCACAGGCAAATGATGCTGTTCAGTGGTCCGAATGCAACAATCATTGTGCTGTAAATCAAGCAAATGCAACCCGGCATAGGCTAGAAGCAACCGGCATTGGCGGGTGTGCCTGTGCAAGGCATGGTTGCTTCGTTCCACATGCGATGGTCGATTTTCAGAAGGGAGAAAGGTATGCACATTTACCTCACCATTGAGACACTCCCCAACAAAGACCAGGCAGATGAACATGGACTATGCTTTGTGCGAGGCATTGAAACACAACACCGGCAGCATTCGGCGTGCACTGACATTCTATGATATAAACTGCCAGTATCACAAATATCTCAGGGATCGGGTATCAGACAGCTCTTTCTTAGAGCTTGACCAGGCACTGGAGATCGTGCCGGGAATAGGTCTCTGGCATGTGCATGGCCACCAAGACAGCTGCTATGTACGATATGCCTCCAATTTCATCACCGGTGCCGCACAAATTGACGGCGAGATCATGGAGACATTGTGGGCACCGTTAAATATCATCTCTCCTTCGGCGAGGGGAATGGGGACACCGCACCGGAAGGAGTGCTTGGACTATCAAATGAACGACTGCAATTTCATGAAGATGATCAGGATGAGTGGGTGTCTTATATCTGACATAATCATAATGCACTCACCAACACACTGCTGCAGGCAAGGCCCTTTGCTGAAAATTCAGGCAAGCTGTGAAAGGAGTCGCTGAGAGCACCGCCGCGTTCCAGAAGCTAAATACAAGCGCCAATGCGGCAAAAGTGATAGAGTGGGAAGAACAGGAAAGAGTTGCACAGCAATGCCGCACCGTTGATTCAAAGGCCATGGACATATATGAGGTCCAACTCCGCAGAGGTATATGCCAATATTTGAATGTAAATATAAAGACTGACTGTCACCTAGCGCCGACACGAAAGGAACAGGAACTGCAGTTGTTGGAGGCCAATGGTCGGTGTCCTGGTCCGGCGCGCCAGCGAGGAGCGGCGACATGGTTGGCAGAGGGCCTGTCAATTGAGGAGGTACAGCTGACACTCCTAATAGATCTCAGGAGATTGGGGCGGCATCCAACTGAAAGCCAGCGGTTGGATATTGCTCGCCGAAGAGAGAGACTCCAGGGAGACATCGATCGGTGGTTGGCACAGGGACTCAGGTTCATCGGCGACAGGATAGGAGACGGCGACATCGAGGTGATGGAGAACGAGCTGCTCATGCTTGATGAAGACCAAATTGATGAGACGGCAGATGAATTCAGACTATTCGAGCCTGAAAAGATGGTCTTGCCTATGCCATCCATCCTTGGCCCAAAAAGGTGCGCCGAACTTGGTGCCGCAGAGCTGATTCAACACGAACTGGCACTTCGGGAGGGACAGGCCAATGATGCCCTGCACAATATCAGAGTGCACTTGGCAGACAAGGCCGTCATTTTCAGGACCACCGTCAGAACAGCAAAGTCTCAAGCCATGTCTACCAGAGCATGGGCTCAAGTTCATTCAGTGGACCGGGCGGTGAGTATCAATGCAAGCATTTACTCAAAGTGCCGCACACAGTTGGCTAACCTCGGCGCCAACGATGAATTGCTGGAGAGATATCGCCCGCTGGTCAAGGAGCATCTCAAGGTTAGCACGGCCGTAGCTGATCCAAATGCAAGAGGACAGAGAAACAACACATTGGCCTGGTTCTGGTCAATGGATGTGGAGGGGGATTCTCATAACAGTGATTGGCTCAATGAATGTGAGTTAATTATGCTGATTGGATGCGCGGCGCCGACATTATAAACAGTTTACCGTGTGCACTGGCTTCGTGCCAAGGCATTAAAAGACCAGTGGGAAGAAGAGCACCTTCTAGTGCAGCATGAGATGAATTGGACATGCGATTTCTTTATGCATAAAGCAGAGGAGTGGATACGGTTGGGCAACCTCGCCAAGAACAAGGTTGGACACCTTGCCTATGCGGCGCGGCAGTGCAAAATGTATCAATGTTTATGTCAGGATGCCAGTTACCACCACACTCCTGCCACCGCCGCACTCCTGTCACTGCTGCACTCTTGCCACCGCCGCACCATAGGTCTGCCGCCGGCCTGCATTGTTAAAATCCATTGTGAAGAGGTTGTATTTCACTTGAATGGTCATTGGGGGCACTTAGTAGTCCCATTACAACTACATACTAACTATGCATGGCTTACCCTCCCTCCTTCTTCAAGTACTTCACCAGCCGCTCTGTTGCGGTGATGGCGGCACTGTAGAGACTCATGCCTCTCCTTGTGCAATATTGCAGTTTTCACCAAGGAGTATACAGCACGAACTTGTAGCATCACTCTGTATGCTATCCACAGCTATTCCTACATGAGGCGCAGCTTTCCTGCACAATGCGCAACTCGCGCGCGTGCCTTTCCCGCGCTTCACGATGTATATGCGCCCGCGCTTGAGCGCCCTATAGCGCCAGCCATCCGGAAGCATCCATCCACTGTCCGCCAAGTTCCCTAGTGCATATATTTCCATTTCTCACATTTGCATATCATTCCATCTTTATTTTTATCATGGACCCTTACTTACATATATCTTTACATACCTTACTCGGTAGCGCTTTGGCTCCGCATGACAGCGCTTAGGCGCCATACTTAAGCGCCAGCAGTACATACTATTACTCACTTACTCACCCACCAAGAACGACAGAGGACTGAACCAGAACAATACCCATTTACTACCCAGCAGAGCATAGTTGAAATCTATTCCTTGGCACCTCGCATATAACATCTCTCAGCTTGCATCTCTCACCTCTTGTCTAGTGTCTAATTATCACTTAAGCAAACTCACTCTTACTCTCTCTTGTTTCCGCATACACGCGTGTGCATTCCCGTGCCTCGCGTGCACCTGCGCTTTCCCGCGCTTCGCATTCGCCAACCAGTAGCGCCTTCGGCACCTACTACTAGATCCTTGCTGCACTCACTTCCCCTTTAGGGTCAAATGCACTTGTCGTCTCAAGTATAGCAGACTAGGCAACGCGCGACCTTACAACATTTATAGATACAGTCAGGAGCTTTGTTCGTGCCTCGCTGTATCGTTGAACCTTCAGCACGCACATCTTGACCCAATGCAGTCTCCATCCTCAACAATGATGCCGCAACTAGCCACGCCTCAACAACCTTATTCTCCAACAGTGTAATAATTTGGTCCCCTTCTTGCTTGGTGCCGGCGTGGATATTAGCCAACTGCTGTGCGACCAGTGTTGACCTTGAGTCTACCAATGTCGCCGGTGTCACAAGTAAGCAGCCCTCTGGCTGCATTGAAATGTCAGATTATGTGATGATGAGGAGAAACAAAACTCACCAATTGTTCAAAGTGGGAATTGGCCATTGCTTTGATGTCACCAAAGTTGGGGAGGGTGGTGGTGAAAGTCTTGTAGTCCACGGTATCAAAGGCTTCGTTCCACCATGCCATTGGATATGTTTTGACGATGCGGCCTGTTACCCATGTGCCGGAATGCACTGCCAGCAGCTTCATGAATGCATCATAGAACTCCTGGTAGTTCAGGAGCTCCGTCTGGCTCATGCCGAGCATGCCGACAAAGAACCGAAGGTTTCTGGAGAGCGGCGGGCTGATGCCCATGCCTTCACAATAGTTGACCCAAGGTGAAATAAACACCTGTGTGGTCAGTGATTAGTTCAATATTATGTCAGTGTCCGGAGAAAGAACATACATCTCCTTCCCACATCAGATACCTAGTCATGATGTATCGGACTTTCGACGAAGTGACAAGGTTGCTTGTGTCAAGCGTCATCCATATGGCCAGCAATTGGGATGCGGCGAACTCAAAGATACTTGCCATGTCGGCAAGACCCAAGGCCCTTTGGATGGAAGGGTAATTGTTTTCAGTGGATGCAGGGTGTGACATGATTAATATGATGATAGATGCACGGTGATCACAAGTTCCATTTAAGTCCAATGCAATCGGAGTTTGAACATGTGTGGTCTCATTGGTCTGAACAAGGAAACAAGGACGTACAATAGTGCTCATTGGCTGTTTCACATGCTCCATTCATCCATTGCATAATGTACATCATGCTACCGTATGAGCATACAATGAAAAGTAGTTGAAATATTTCAATGATATTGCGAGGTCGCAGGACCAGAGTGCAGTGCAATCAATGTTGGCGCCGGATGTCATGGTCTTCGGTATCGGCGCTGGATGGCATGTTGGCTTCAGTGTTGGCAGTAAATGTCACAATGTCTTCAGTATTAACGGTAAATGTCGCGGTGCCTTCAGTATCGGCGGGGAATGTGAATTTTACATGTTGATCGCCGCATTTGCAGATGCGGGAGGCATGACACAAGCTAAGGAGATCCCAATGACATATGCTTTGGCATTGATGCGTCAGCGTCAACATGCCGGCAGCAATAATTCAAGACATGCTCATGGACCACTCACACATCTCGGTGGCTCATTGACATGTAGTGGACCAGTACTGAATCTAGACAAACAAAGGCAGCTATTATCTCACTGAAATCTCTAGTGGAGGGACCCACAGCGGTCTGTTGAACAATGTGATGAATAAGGAAATCTCGATGACATAATCAGCAACCACAGGTCCACATTTCCACGTCACACTTGTACTTAATTCAATCACTTCATCGCCGGTCATCATACACTTCACTTATTCCCAATCCCATATTTACAATGCCTTCTGACGCCGTTACTGCTACTGCCAATGCCGCCTTCTGCCAGGCAGGCGACAAGGTTGAGCACCTGCTCGGCCAAGCACTGCAGTTGGATGCTGCTGACCCCAAGCACATCCCCATTGCGGTGGAGATGGCAAAGGCTCTGGTATGTCTTTCTCTTCTCATATTCACATTGCATTTCCGATTGATTTGCTGACATGACTATAGACTCATGTATTCTCGGTCTACGCCCTGCAGACCACATCTGTGCCACCCATGGTCCTCTCTGCAGCGGCAGAGTTACATCAACACCTGGACTCCTCCTTCTGCAAGGTGGTGAGCACCCCGGTCTGGACCAACATCCGTCCAGAAGATCTCCGCTCCAAGAACAGCCTGCTCTACCCACTCACTGTTGGGTATGGGCAACCGGCACCTCCTGCCACACCTGCTGCTGGCCCTTCTGCCAAGGCCAAAGGTAAGCAGAAAGCAGTCCCAGAAGGGGAATCTGAAGATGACTGTGGCCACCAACTGGAGCGTGGCAAGCATCCACGACGCGTCATGAGCACAAGGAGCCTGAGTGCCGCTCCAAAGCCTAAGCGCCAATGTGCCAAATCCAAGGCCATCATCACCAGCGATGATGACATGGAATTGGACGATGCGGCGGCGGCACCTGAGCCAGCACCAGCACCAGTAAAGGTGAGTTTTTTGTTTCTTTTGTTGAGCTTTTCTGACCTCATACCAGCCTATCAAAGGTGTCCTCAAGAGGACAAGAGAATCTGTTCCCAACCCTGTCTCTGGGACAGACCCCAGCTATGTGGAGATAGATGAGCTGGATGAGAAGCAAATGATTGTTGGTCCGGCACCAAAGATGAGGGTGGCATATGTTGAGATCCCGGTGAGTTTTATTTTTCTCATTATCATTATCATCGCCATCTAATTTTGTACAGCCTGTTCCAAAGGGTAGTGGCAAGGCTGCCAATCCAGCCAGTGGACTTCAAGAGGATGACTATGCCAACTCCACCTCGCCGGTCTGGTCACCCGGCTGTGGTGGCTGTGTGCAGCGGCAGCTGATTTGCCGCCAAGGCTACAACACCAGCCATGACCCACTTGCAGTGTGCGCGCGCTGCCACTGCACTAAACACAAGTGCGGCGGCAAAGGATCTGCCATTCCCACAACAAGCAGGAGACCTGCTGCTAATCACACTAGGTCTAAGTCATGCCGCAGGGCATCCACAGTGAATGTCACCGCCGTCACAGATGGTAGGTTCTTTTTTATATAGTTGAATCATACCATACTTACTTTTGGATGAAGCTGCTTCCTCAGGCAATGTCGCCGCCACCGCCGTTACCATCCCTGCCACCACCGCCGCTCCTGCCACTGCGCATGTTCCTGCGCCAGACAACCAGACAGTTCTGGCGCTCAAGGAGGATCTGGCAGTGCTGCAAACAATGGTGGCCTCTTTGGTGGACAGGGTGAGTACCGCCGAGCAGCTGCTCCAGGAGGCCAACCGGCGCCTTGCTGAGCAGGAGGCCAATGCCAAGCTGCTGGCCGACCAGGTGGCTGCACTGCAGCAGGAGTTGAATTCCGATGCTGAGTCCCCAGCAGCAGAGATTCTTCCTGTTGTCATGAGGACAGATGCTGCAGAGACGCTGGCCGCTGCCGCCCCGCCGGAGGATGAGTCGCCCTTTAATAGTGGAGACTCAGAAGGTGAGGCGCTGCTGCAAGATTCCGGCGCTGTTGTGGAACAGGATTTTGAAGACTCGGCTTTAATTGCATCTACCGCACATGAATGATAGTTGGTAGCATCATGGACCCATTACTGTACTTGTAGCTATGGAACCATTTGTACTTGTAGATATTGAACAATTTGTACTTGTAGCTATTGATGCAGCGGCATTCAGAACATTGCTGCATGTTCTGCTGCCAGTGATAATCAAATGCACCGCAAAAATGCCGGCATATCCGCTGTTGAACATCACCGCAGAATGGTATACAACCTCACTGGGTCGTAACATTGCTGCATCACTGCAACACCCAGTGCAATAATTGGTGTTCGTTGCTACCATGAATTTTCCTGATAATCAATTGTGCCGCACAAATGGCAGCATATCCGCTAATGAACATCACCGCAGCAGAATAGTATATACCAACCTCACTGGGTCATAATATTGCCGCCCTACTGCAACACTCACCCATGGTAATCTGCTAAAATGCTGTGCCGGCATTGTGCTTCCACATTGTGTGATGGGTGTGTTGTAAGTTCATAGTAGCAGAGGGGCTACTATATGCACACCAGGAGGTGCATTATTGCGCCATTGTGATTCGCCATCCTCGGCATTCAGACTACAATAATAACTTCGGGTTTAGAGGGCACATGGTGTTTGGCCTGTTGGCAGCATAATTGAATATACTGTCATGCTGCAAAGCTGCGCCGCCGGAACCGGCATTACATTTGCCGAAGCATATGCTATATGAACCCGATCATCGGTGCCATGGATGGTCGGTGATGAATTCTCCCCATAGAATACCATGGAGGGATTATCTCAGGCAAGCATACTCTGTATCATCCCAGGATACACTGGCCAATGCCAATGTACTACAACTGGTAAGCATTCCCGATATCCATTTGCCAACCCTATTTTCTCGGGATACAGCTGCCGATGCTGATAAACAGTCGCTGGTACTCATTCCTGATGTCCACCTGTCTAACCCTCATCTTAGTAGATACTTGCTGGTGAAGAATGTATCATCACCGACAAGTATTCCCAATGTTCAGTCCCTGACCCAATTTCCGGCATCCACTCCCTGATCCAACCATGGGCCCACCCGATATTGGTGAGACATTACTTCTCCATTGCACTGTGGGCCTACCCTTCAATATACTCAACTATTAATCCTTACACCCATGGGCCCACTCCTGAACATAGAGGCTAGTCTAGTATGGGCCCAGCCCTAACAGGTGGGTACAACACATCCACAGGCCCACCCCTGACCCTGGGTTGACATTCTAATGTGGGCCCATGGTGGGTTGGCCCGACACTTAGGGAGCATTGTCAAGGCAGGCTGCCCTACACTATAGGGTGAAGTCACTGAAGGGGCTCAGCTGAGCTTAGACACAATAGAGTAGCCTTATATAAAGTCGCAGATTAAAGTAGATGTTCCTTACTTTAACCCTACTTGGTTTTCCCTGAACTCCTTGTCCTGCTAAAGCTACCTGCTCGACATCGACTCGTACCTTTGGAGACGCCTCTCTCTGTCTGTAAACCTTGCTATTATCTCGGCGTAACCCCTTGTTCCTACACGAGCTACGTTCGAGTACGCAACCTTTGCTTGTCTGTAAAGGCCAACGACTCTCAGCACTTGGTACTACTGTCGTGGTTGTCGCTGTTAGAACTATCCAGGTCGCACACGACCTTGTGTCGTAACACCTCCTTGAGCTTGTTCTTAATAGCAGACCTCTTAGAAAGCCTCAAATAATGCATATAGCAGCACACCTCGTGCATTATTACATGGATATCAGTGTAGTGACTCGCCTCGAGTCTTATTACATTTCAAATAGCTTATCTCACTACTGTTCTTGCCTACACAATTCCAGACTTTCATGCTGTAGTATATAATCTCACTCACCAGCTGATCTGTACTTCACTTCCTTTCCCTTGCTATGAGTCATAGTTAGTAGACCCACTTTCAGATAAGTTGTACTTCACGCAATTGATCCTTTTGTTTGGCTTGACCGCTGCCATTTTGCATCTCACTATCTCTGAGTCTTTCAATATGCTTTGCATAGTTGTACTTTTGTACTCTCACTAGTCTTATACTTCGACATACCCATTATACTGACTCTCAGAAATCTCACTGTTTAGTCGCAAGCTCTTCAGAGCCTCTGTGCATCATCAGACCTTCATTTCTTGACTTTGGACCACCTTCGCTTGCATTAGACAAGTACTTTGGTACTTTGGATGCACTTTTAGATGTGGTCAAAGTCGGGAAGGTAAAAACTTACCTGTCTAGTAGGTGTATATAAGCTAAGAGGTTCATAGTCCCACACTGGCGAAGAGCTTGCAGAGACATTTGCAAAGATGCTAGAAGAATTTGGCATATCAGAAAAGATATGATTCACAAAAACAAAACACACTTATATGCAAATGAATCCATAGGACACAGATGCTGAGTATTACATGTGATAATGCGTCCAACAATGACACAATAATTTGCAAATTGAGTGATAAAGTGCTCAGGTTCAGTGGAGCAGTGATGCACACCAGGTGCTTCCTCCACATGGTAAACCTGGTGGTGAAATTGTTGATTAATGAGTTCAATGTGAAGAAACATGGAGCTGACCAAGTGGATAGTACTGAGATGGAGCTGGAAGAATTCAGTGTGGAGGTGGAAGAGGATCCAGAGATGATAGATGAGGCAGGAATGATAGACGGGGTATACAATGAAGACAGATTTGTTGAAAAGGCTGAGTTGTTGGATGAGGGTGAGCATGTTATATCACACTGAACAAATAGATTCAACCATTGAAGTTAGCACTTGTCAAGGTAAGTGCATGCAAGAAAATAGAACTCGCCATTGAATTCAACTTATTCCCCAGGTGCAGAAGCTCGCATGAAAAAAAAAATGAATGTCTGAGATACTGTCTGTGAGCAAATACTGAAGTCATGGTTGTATAGAAAAAATGTGGTGTTCAACAGGTTTTGAACTTGTTGCACTACAATAGAAACAGATTTTGACTCTGTTATCACAGCCACATGGCTAAACACAACTTTGATCATCTTGCAAGCAAACCAACTATGAGCAAATTTCAAGGTGTGTTTTGATAGAAAATGAATTTTATCATTGGCAGGTTTCAAATCTGCACATTCCAAGAGAAACAGATTTTGACTCTGATGATCACTTGACAATTTCTTCTTTAGCAGGTTTTGAACCCACACAGACAGATTTAGATTCTGTTGTATCGACTGGTTGACTAAGAGCAGTTAAAATGAATTGATTCAAAAGTGAATCCTCAAGGCAGTTCTTTCAATAGCAAGGTCTCCATGATTGATTCTTTTATTCTACTCTTATTACAAAAGACATCAGAATTCTTCTGGGGCTCTTGACTTCAAGACCTGTTTATCTAGCAATTGCTCTGAAAAAGTGCTGATGACAGACCACCATGGTGGGCCGATGATGTTTGTGATGTCTTGGGATTAACAGCTGTGTCATGAGTGAGGACTGACAATGGAAGGATCACATATGATTGGACTCAAGGGGGATGTTAGAGTTTAATGTACCTTGAGGATTTGCTTCTGAATGGGCTCATTGGGAGTGCATCTAACTGGTCTTAGCCAAGCAGTTGATACGACAGAATCTAAATCTGTCTGCGTGGGTTCAAAACCTACTAAAGATAAAATTGCAAGTGAACATCAGAGTCAAAATCTGTTTCTCTTGGACAGTGCAGGTTTGAAACCTGCCAATGATAACATTTTTATTTTATGAAATCACACCACCAGTGAGATAGTGCTCTCAGGAAAGTACACATGAGTCCATGTCGAGGCGTGTTCTGACAGGAAAAAAAGAAACTTATATCATTCATGAGAAAATGTCAAGGTGTGATTTCATGGAATAAAAATGTCATCATTGGCAGGTTTCAAACCCACAAAGTCCAAGAGAAACAGATTTTGACTAAGACCAATGAAGATCAGCGTCTGGGATGCTGTCTATGAGCAGATATTCAAGACATGTTCTAATAGAAAAAAATGCAACATTCAATAGGTTTCAAACCTGTTACGTTCCAGTGGAAACAGATTTTGACTCTGTTATGACAACCACTTGGCCAAACACAACTCTGATGGGCTTTTAAGCAAACCAACCATGAGAATATAGAAATCTGCTCATGGTCGATTTGCTTGCAAGCTGATCACAGTCGATTTAAAATCTGTTTCTCTTCAACTGTGTAGGTTTAAAACCCGCCAATAACAACATTTTTATTCTATGAAATCCAAAATGGTGGAATGTGATGAATCACGAGTTAATGCAAAATACACATCATTATACAGATTACAGACCTGCTTAGTTCAAGAGAAATATATTTTGACTCTGGCAATCACTTGAATAAGCAAAATAAAGAATCTCAGCCTTGATAGATTTGTATTTTTACCAATTTCCCAGGTTATTAGGATCAAACTTGAAAGTTTGATGTGTAATCTGCTCTTTTTCTTCTTCAACCAAGTCAAGACCTTCAGAAAGAATCATATTGTTATTGTACTTATCCTTCCGAGTTTGCATCAAGACTTTGGTCATATATTGAACTCTGTGTCAAAAATACACTGTGTGATCCTTTCATTGTCTTCCATCAGCACTTTTTCAGGGAAATTGTTAGATAAACAGGTCTTGAAGTCAAGAGCCCCGGCAGGAAGTCTGTGTCTTTTTCAATAAGAGTAGGATAAAAAATCAACACTGACCATGCTATTGAAAGAGCTGAAAAATGCAGATAAATGTACCTTGAGTACTCACTTCTGAATGGGCTCATTGGGAGTGCATCTAACTGGTCTTAGCCAAGCAGTTGGTACGACAGAATCTAAATCTGTCTGCGTGGGTTCAAAACCTGCTAAAGATGAAAATCTCAAGTGATCACCAGAGTCAAAATCTGTTTCTCTTGCACAGTGCAGGTTTGAAACCTGCTAATGATAACATTTTTATTCTGATTCTATGAAGGCACACCTTGACATATGCTTATGGTTGGTCAGCTTGCAAGCTGATCAGAGCTGTATTTAGCCAAGTGGTTGTTGTATGTAACAGAATCCAAATCTGTTTCTATTGGAGCGCAACAGGTCTCAAACCTGTGAAACATCACATTTTTTTTCTATAAGAACATGCCTCAAATATTTGCTCATAGATGGTGTGTGCGAGGAATGATAGCTAGATGGGAAGGGGTGAAAGGAGAAGAAAGAGTGAAGTGGGGTAAAAACTCAAATAGACCTCTGGATGCGAGTATACATTTTGCCCAAGGGAATTGCTACTTAGAACGATTCCTCTAATGTATGCTTTGATTGAAACATATTTTGAATCCATCGTGGCAATGATGTGGAAAAGAGTATTTATGATGAGTTTTGGAGAAAACTATCCATGAGAAAATATCAGAGTGTAATTGCACAGAATAAAAACATAATCATCGGCATGTTTCAAATCTGCAAAGTCCAAGAGACACAGATTTTAACTCTGGTGACAACTTGACTAAGATCAATGGAGATCAATGTCTGAGATACTGTCTATGAGCAAACATTCAAGACATGTTCTCATAGAAAAAATGTGACATTCAATGGATTTCAAACCTGTTGCATTCCAATAGAAACAGATTTTGATTCTGTTATGACAACCACTTGGCCAAACACAACTTTGATTGGCTTGCAAGAAAACTGACCATCAGCATATTTCAAGGTGTGATTTCATATAAAACAAATGTCACAACTGGCAGGTTTCAAACCTGCATGGTCCAAGAGAAACAGATTTTGACTCTGGTGATCACTTGACAATGACATCTTTAGCAGGTTTTAAACCTACGCAGACAGATTTAGATTCTGTTGTATTAACTGCTTGGCTAAGACCAGTTAGATGCACCTCCAATGGACCCATTCACAAGTGAATTCTCAAGGCATATTTATCTGCATTCTGTCAGTTCTTTTAATAATATGGTCGCCATGATTGATTTTTTTATTCTACTCTTATTGCAAAAGACATCAGACTTCTTCTGGGCCTCTACTTTAAGAATAAACCTATTTATCCAGCAATTGCTCCAAAAATGTGCTGATGGCAGATCACCATGGTGGGCTGATGATGTAATATTAGAACTGACAAAATGCAGATAAATGTATCTTGAGGATTCACTTCTGAATGAATTCATTGGGAGCACATCCAACTGGTCTTAGCTGAGCAGTTAATACGACAGAATCTAAATCTGTTTGCGTGGGTTCAAAACCTGCTAAAAATAAAATTGCAAGTGATCATCAGAGTCAAAATCTGTTTCTCTTGGGCTGTGCAGGTTTGAAACCTGCCCAATGATAACATTTTTATTTTATGAAATCAGACCTTGACATTGACTCATGTGTACTTTCATGTTGTAGCTCATCATAGACTAAACTCTAGGTTAGCCTCGTGCCTCAGCTATCAGCTGGCAAAAAAAATATTCTGCTGTAGGGACTCATATCTTTGTAGGCTCATAGGATCCATATTTACAACTCACTTTCAGGCTCAGTTTATACACCATTGTCGTCCTAACATATTTTGACTCTGTTTCAATGTCTACTTGGCTAAGACCAGTGAGATGGAGCTCTCAGGAAAGTACGCATGAGTCAATGTCAAGGCGTGATTTCATAGAATAAAAATGTCATCATTGGCGGGTTTGAAACTCACAAAGTCCAAGAGAAACAGATTTTGACTCTGATGACAACTTGACCAAGAACCAATGAAGATCAGTGTCTGAGATACCGTTTACGAGCAAGTATTCAAGGAATGTTCTAATAGAAAAAAACATGCCACATTCAACAGGTTTCAAACCTGTTGCATTCCAATGGAAACAGATTTTGATTCTGTTATGACAACCACTTGGCTAAACACAACTTTGATGAGCTTTTAAGCAAACCGCCCATGAGCATGTGTCAAGGTGCATTTTCATAGAAAATGAAACTTATCATTGGCAGGTTTGAAACCCACAAAGTCCAGGACAAACAGATTTTGACTCTGATAATCACTTGGCAACTTGATCTTTAGTAGGTTTTGAACCCACGCAGACAGATTTATATTCAGTTGCATCAACTGCTTGGCTAAGACCAGTGAGATTCGCTTCCAATGAACTCATTCAGAAGTGAATCCTCAAGACACATTCTATCTGCATTTTGTCAGTTCTTTCAATAGCGTGGTCACTGTTGAGTCTTTTATTCTGCTTTTTCTATTACCAGAGGCAAATGTAAGTATCTTTGATGCAAACTCGGAATGATAAGCACAAGAGCAATTTAATTCTCTTCAAAGGTCTTGACTTGGTTGAAGAAGAAGAGCAGATTACGCATCAAACTTTCAAGTTCAATCCTAATCACCTGGAGAATGAGGAAGAATACACATCTGTCAAGGCTGAGATTCCAAAGGGCTATACGGCCATTATTCACTTATGTATAAGGTTGAAGTGCACTGTATTTGAGACCTTTCATCATCATGTTTCTCTCCTCTCGCTTTTTGAAAGTGCTGTATTGCAGTCTATATTCAATTCATCTGTTCAGCTGAGGAAAAACATTGTGATTGCGAGTGACAGGGAACTGTAGACTTGCCTTGCAGATTCAATTCTGAATGTTTTCTTTAAAGATGGATCTAACTGGTGTTAGTCAAACAGTTGCTACAACAGAATCCAAATCTATTTCAAATCTGTGTGTGTGCGGGTTCAAAACCTGCTAAAGATGAAATTACCAGTGATTATCAGAGTCAACATCTGTTTCTCTTGGAATGTGCAGGTTTGAAACCTGCCAATAATAAAATTCATTTTTTATAAAACCGCACCTTGACACATGCTCATGGTCAAATTTCTAATTTCGGTTGGCACACCTCAATTCACTGGCAGCACTACAACTTGCTTGGGAAGGGAACCCAACAGATAAATGTGCCTTGAGGATTCACTTCTGAATGAATTTATTGAAAGTGCATCCAACTGGTCTTAGCCAAGCAGCTAATACAACAGAATCTAAATCTGTCTGTGTGGGTTCAAAACCTGCTAAAGATGAAATTGTCAAGTGATCACCAGAGTCAAAATCCGTTTCTCTTGAACAGTGCAGGTTTGAAACCTGCTAATAATAACATTTTTATTTTTATTCTATGAAAGCACACCTTGACATATGCTTATGGTCGGTTTGCTTGGATATATTTCTGGATACATCATCCATGAAGATGATAAGAGGAACCGAGTACACCATACATCCTTGAGATCTTGCGTGCAATTGATTTGGCACTAGCTTTGCATATTTCCTCAATGACTCCATCAGCCCGCCAGCAAGTTCATTGTCATTTGCAGATATTTCTTGAAATGACCTTCAAAAATTACATGTCAGAATTATTTCTTGCTCATCACTGACAATAAAGCCATCCTAAGTCTATCAGCAAAGTTGAATGTATTTAAAGAATAGGTTCACCTCTGTTTGTTGTACAGTACAGCCAAGTGCGTATAACTGCTTGTCTGTGTTATCACCTGTCGATGTGTACGACACAAGAAAGAAGTGCTCAGGTATAAAGTAGTCCCCTGATGCATCCTGCAAGAGCTCATTCACAAAGTAGATCTCCCTGTCGACTTTAGCTGCAGGAGGCAAAGGGCAGTTCAAACAACATTTTCTCTCATACAAATTGTATGTCTCATTGGCTTGATAGAAAGGGCTGCTTGAGATGGCATTCCAGAGATCAGCGACTGGTACTACTTCATGGTCTGATCGTATTGGATGTGGCTCCTGAGTATAGACAGTATTGTCGACGTCCATAGCACTTGAGGTGAACATGTTGTCGCATAAGCGCAGGAATGTAGTGGTTGCTGAAAGTGGAAGGTGCGGGAAAGACATGGCTGCAAAGCGGCCAATGCAGGAGGGGTTTGGATGATAATAGAGATCAAGAACAATAGAAATAGGCGTAGAGTGAAGCGATAACAGATATGATGCAGGCGGCAAACAGATACTGATTGCCAGTAGCTACCAACTGTAGGCTAATGGGAGTTGCTACTGGAAGGTCCAGAAAACAAGCTACTGAACGATATGTACTACTAGTCAGTCTTCCTCTAGAAGTTTCCTTTGGCCAATAGTCAACTGGCATGCACCCACACTTGGGCCCGTCCTCCATCCATGTCCTTTCCATGTCCACCTATCTCTGTTGGTGCGTGTTCATTTTCTCTCGGTTTGACTGAATGATATCAAGGCTTATCACATGTAACTGCGTATTCTGTTCCGCGCGCATTCTCATTACGTATTACTTATCTGCCTCATTTCATCGCTATGGTTCTCACCTACGGGTTCTGGATACTCGTGCAGTAGGATAAAGCCTCGCGTGCTACATACAGTACGATACTTCCCTTCCCTCGGACGCTACCTTTGTTTTGCAGAGTCACCTTAGACGTTCTTAGTACTTTTGATCAATTGACAAGCCTTGTTCATCCTCACTCTGAACCCGCGTGTTCTTGACCACTCTGAGAACACACCTCTAAGGAACTTGGCGGCTGCATCTACATCTGCAAAGGGGTAAGGGTCATGCAGGTGATGGTCAGAAAATTTGATCATCAGGCATGTGCATAGGAGTGCTTGGATATTGCTATGAAAACCTGCTACCCACATGTGGTTCCTTTTGGTCTTCCTTATGTGATCTTGTTCAATTAGGGAATTAGCTGACCTCTTGGAAACTGTGAGCGAGGGTATTGGCAGCTTTGTGTACTTGCCCTTTACCACCTGCAGGTCAGATGAACCTGTTGCATTATAATAGAAACAGATTTTGATTCAGTGGGCCCATGAGTGAAAACTGACAATGGAAGGTTCACAGAGTTCAATATATGACCAAAGTCTTGATGCAAACTCAGAAGGATAAGTACAAGAACAATATAATTCTTTCTAAAGGTCTTGATTTGGTTGAAGAAGAAGAAGAAGAGCAGATTGCACATCAAACTTTCAATTTTGATCCTGATAACCTGGAGAATGAGGAAAAATACAAATCTGTCTATTAAGGCTGAGATTCTTTATTGCGCTCGTTCAAGTGGTTGTCAGAGTCAAAATATATTTGTAATCTGTATAAAGATGTGTATTTTGCATTAACTCGTGATTCATTACATTCCACCATTTTGGATTTCATAGAATGAAAATATTGTTATTGGCAGGTTTCAAACCTGCACAGTTGAAGAGAAACAGATTTTGAATCTGATGACAACTTGACCAAGACCAATGAAGATCAATGTCTGAGATGCTGTCTATGAGCAAATATTTGAGACACACATTCTTAGAGAAAAAATGCGACATTCAACAAGTTTCAAACCTGTTGCACTGCAATAGAAACAGATTTTTATTCTGTTATGACAACCACTGTGCTAGACACAACTCTGATCATCTTGCAAGCAAACTGACCATGAGCATGTGTCAAGGTGCATTTTCATAAAAAATGAATTTTATCATTGGCAGGTTTCAAACCTGCACAGTCCAAGAGAAACAGATTTTGACTCTGATAATTGCTTGGAAATTTCATTTTTTTTAGCAGGTTTTGAACCCACACAGACAGATTTAGATTCTGTTGTATCAACTGCTTGGCTAAGACCAGTTATATGCGCTCCCAATGAACTCATTCAGAAGCGACTTACATACTTTTGTGAGCAAATATTCAAGGCATGTTCTGATAGAAAAAATGTGACATTCAATGGGTTTCAAACTCAAGGGCATGAATTCCATGGATGCTGAGCTTTACTTACATGAGGAAATGTCAGGGTGTAATTGCATAGAATAAAAATATTACCATTGGCAGGTTTGAAACCTGCAAAGTACAAGAGAAACAGATTTTGACTCTGATGATAACTTGACTAAGGCTAATGAAGATCTATGTCTGAGATACTGTCTATGAGCAGATATTCAAGGCATGTTCTTATGGAAAAAAATGAGCCACTCGACAGGTTTCAAACCTGTTGCACTCAAATAGAAACAGATTTTGATTCTGTCAGGACAACAACTTGCCTAAAACACAACTCTGATGAGCTTGTAATCAAATCGACCATGAGCATGTGTCAGGGTGCGGTATCACAAAAAAATGAATTTTATCATTGGCAGGTTTCAAACCTGCACATTCAAGAGAAACAGATTTTGACTCTGATAATCACTGGTAATTTCATCTTTAGCAGGTTTTGAACCCGCACACACACAGATTTGAAACAGATTTGGATTCTGTTGTAGCAACTGTTTGACTAACACCAGTTAGATCCATCTTTAAAGAAAACATTCAGAATTGAATCTGCAAGTCAAGTCTACTGTTCCCTGTCACTCGCAATCGCAATGTTTTCCCTCAGCTGAACAGATGAATTGAATACAGACTGCAATACAGCACTTTCAAAAAGCGAGAGGAGAGCAACATGATGATGAAAGGTCTCAAATACAGTGCACTTCAACCTTATACATAAGTGAATAATGGCCAGATGGCTCTTTTGAATCTCAGCCTTGACAGATGCACATTCTTCCTCATTCCCCAGGTCATTAGGATTGAACTTGAAAGTTTGATGCGTAATCTGCTCTTCTTCTTCAACCAAGTCAAGACCTTTGGAGAGAATTAAATTGCTCTTGTGCTTATCATTCCGAGTTTGCATCGAGACTTTGGTCATATATTGAACTTTGCATCAAAGATACTTGCATTTGCCTCTGGTAATTTTTTAGAGGAAAAAAGCAGAATAAAAGAATCAACAGTGATTATGCCATTGAAAGAACTGACAAAATGCAGATAAAATGTGTCTTGAGGATTCACTTCTGAATGAGTTCATTGGAAGCGAATCTCACTGGTCTTAGCCAAGCAGTTGATGCAACAGAATATAAATCTGTCTGCGTGGGTTCAAAACCTACTAAAGATCAAGTTGCCAAGTGATTATCAGAGTCAAAATCTGTTTGTCCTGGACTTTGTGGGTTTCAAACCTGCCAATGATAAGTTTCATTTTCTATGAAAATGCACCTTGACACATGCTCATGGGCGGTTTGCTTAAAAGCTCATCAAAGTTGTGTTTAGCCAAGTGGTTGTCATAACAGAATCAAAATCTGTTTCCATTGGAATGCAACAGGTTTGAAACCTGTTGAATGTTGCATTTTTTCTATTAGAACATTCCTTGAATACTTGCTCATAGATGGTATCTCAGACTGATCTTCATTGGTTCTTGGTCAAGTTGTCATCAGAGTCAAAATCTGTTTCTCTTGGACTTTGTGGGTTTCAAACCCGCTAATGATGACATTTTTATTCTATGAAATCACGCCTTGACATTGACTCATGCATATTTTCCTGAGAGCTCCATCTCACTGTTCTTAGCCAAGTAGACATTGAAACAGAGTCAAAATATGTTAGGACGACAATGGTGTATAAACTGAGCCTGAAAGTGAGTTGTAAATATGGATCCTATGAGCCTACAAAGATATGAGTCCCTACAGCAGAATATTTTTTTTGCCAGCTGATAGCTGAGGCAGGAGGCTAACCTAGAGTTTATTCTATGAGCAAATTAGGTGAGGTGATGCATGCTTCTTGCCTCTGCCCACCTCATGTTCAAACATTTCTCATCTTTAGTACTCGACTCTGGTCTCAGTTTTTGCAATCCTATTCTAACAGAATGTTCAATGAAGATTGTAATAAAGCCATAAGACCTGATTTTACTGCAATCGATCATCAAGATGCTCATCGACATGCATCAACAAAGCCTTGTGGATCAAAGATGGAACACATATTTGTACTGCATGGCAGCGGGATGAAAGCTATAGAAACCCCAAAGCATGATTTGAGGCATTTGTGCTCAGGATGCGGAGCCATGTCACATGGAGCCCAGAGATATTCTTGAACAGAGAAAAGTGCATCCACAAACACTATATAAAGCAGATATTTGGGAGCGCGAGCTACAATATGAAAGTACACATGAGTCAATGTCAAGGTGTGTTCTCCCAGGAAAAAACACATATATCATTCATGAGGAAATGTCAAGGTCTGATTGCATAAAATAAAAATGATATCATTGGCAGGTTTTAAACCTGCGCAGTCCAAGAGAAACAGATTTTGACTCTGATGGTCACTTGCAATTTTATCTTTAGCAGGTTTTGAACCCACACAAACAGATTTGAATTCTGTTGTATTAACTGCTTGGCTATAAGACCAGTTGGATGCCCTCTATAAATAAAATGTTATTATTGGCAGATTAAAAACCTGCACAGTCCAAGAGAAACAGATTTTGACTCTGGTGACAACTCAACTAAGACTGATGAAGATCAGTGTCTGAGAGACCGTCTACCATTAAATATTCAAGACATGTTCTAATAGAAAAAAATGCAGCATTCAATGGGTTTCAAACTGTCAAGGTGCATTTTCATAAAATAAAAATGTTATTTTTGGCAGGTTTCAAACCTGCGCAGTCCAAGGGAAACAGATTTTGACTCTGATGATCACTTGCAATTTTATCTTTAGCAGATTTTGAACCCACACAGACAGATTTAGATTCTGTCGTATCAACTGCTCAGCTAAGACCAGTTGGATGCACTCCCAATGAAGTCATTCAGAAGTGAATCCTCAAGGTACATTTATCTGCATTTTGTCAGTTCTAATATTACATCATCGTCCCACCATGGTGATCTGCCATCAGCACATTTTTGGAGCAATTGCTGGATAAATAGGTCTTGAAGTAGAGGTCCAGAAGAGGTCTGATGTTTTTTGTGATAAGAGTAGAACTAAAAAAAATCAATCGCAGCAACCATATTATTAAAAGAACTGACAGAATGCAGATAAATATGCCTTGAGAATTCACTTGTGAATGGGTCCATTGGAGGTGCATCTAACTGGTCTTAGCTGAGCAGTTGATACAACAGAA